AAGCCTTAAGCCCATGTAAGGGCATTCACCTACTTCTCTGTGGGGAATGCTTCTCTCCCGAGGTATAAAGAAGGGAGTGTTGGAAGCGCTCTGGTTAGTAACAGTGAGCTGCAGACATCCTTATCGTTGCAGCCTTGGTCTCCCCCCAGGTCCACCTGAAAGTGTGGGACTCCAGTCAGGACACACACAACCCAGAGGAGGAACTGGATGAGGAAAGTGTGATTTTAATGCTTGCTAAGGACCCTGCCATGTAACATTCAATGAAATCAAACATTTCTTCCACCAGAAATGTCAAATAACCAACCCCCAACCTCCACCCCACCTCCCCACCCCCGCCAACTTGTGAGCAAATAAAACTCTCTCAAAGAAATTATATATAAGAGACCAACCCTTCCCCTATTTCCTGTGAATGGCACTGTGAAGGGGCTGGTGTCAACAATTTAACAAGGTTTATCTGAGACTCCAGAGACATGCATTCCCTCAACAAAACTATGATATTCTTAATGCATTGCCTGAGGCATTGAATTCAGGCTCCAGGAAGGGGGGGGCCAAGACTTCAAGGCAGCTGTAAAAGGTGTAAGAGGGGCGCCTGAGGGTTGGAGTTGTAGCTTTAGCTCAGAAGTCTAAGTTTGGAGATGGGGGAAGAATTGTGCAAGAGCCGTTCAGCCTGGGGCTATGAATCATTCTCTTCTTGCTTCTGAGGAGGCCTGGTGCTCCAAGCCTCTAGTGCCAGGGGGTACATTGGCCACGGCAGACAGCTTTCTGCAGATATGAGAGGCTGCGTTCACCTGAAGTGTCACGTGGACCGGACCTGGGTCGGAGATACTTTCCATATGATGACCTCTCTTTCCCCAGGGATAGAAAAAATGACATGCAACACCCTGATTGTGTTCAAAGGAAAAAGAAGATCATGACAGAAATAACTGTCACCATAGACAGGAGCTGTGACAGAGACACTATGCTGCTCCCAAGTAGCCAACCAAGATAATGTTTGATTTTGACACGAAGGGCTTAGAAGAAGCAAAGAGAAACCTTCTAAATTTCCTGATAATGGCTTTTAAAAAGCAAAACAAACAAAGTAACAGGTCGCTAACCTTCAGAAGTCCCTTCTCCCATCATCTCTGCCAGGACAAGCAGCAGTGTCCACAGACAGTTCAGCGTGCATCTAACAGTGTGCGGAGTCTTAACCATCCCTGACTTCTCCTGATACCTTGAGTTGGACTTGCTTTGTTACCTGGGATCTGGGATATGGTTTTGCTCTAATGGGTTTGTTTCACTGCATTTAGGAGCAGTTTCAGGGCAGTAAAGCAGAAGGAGTTCCCACATACTCCCCTAAATGTATCCTACTAAAGTTTTATTGTACATTAAAAAAGGAAAAGACTTCCTTCTGCTCCTGCGAGTGGACAGGTGCTGCTGTCCCTTCTTGAGAATTCTTAGTCCTGGGGAGTGAGGCCTTCTGTGGGGTTTCCATTCCAATTTCTAAGCTGACTCAACCCCTTATCTTTTTTTAAGTAATTTATTTTATGTGCATTGGTGCACTATGTCTGTGTAAGAGTGTCAGACCTTGGAGTTACAGACAAGTGTGAGCTGTCATGTAGGTCCTGGGAACTGAACTCAGGTCCTCTAGAAGAGCAGTCAGTGCTCCTAAACACTGAACCAGCACTCCATCCCCAGCCACTTACCTTTCACCTTAGATATCAGGACACTGGACACTCACACATGGCAACAGCATCCACACCTGGGGCTGCTAACTGGGTTTCTGTGCTGGAAGATGCCTTCTCCAGGTTCCTCCTCCTTACAGGCTCTAGAAGATGCTGTGTATTTTCTGCATCCCAGAGACTCACTTTGATGTAATTCTGAGTATTTGAAATTGCTGCGTGTAGAAGATTGTCAGCAGCTTCCAGAGTCTGCTTCACAAGGGCCCTAAGGACATTTTCTGCAGTATCCATGGGAGCATTTGCCTCAGTGCTGGAGTAAAGTCACCTTTCCCTATACATCCTCCAAGTTTTCCTTGCAGAAATCTGACCACATTTTAAGAATGGATGCTCATTGGCCTTTTATTCTCTGTAGACTATTGGTCAGCAGTGTCATTGCCTATAAAATTGAAACTAGTGAAGCCCCACCTGTTTATGAGCCCAAAAAACCCATATTTGCTGAGAACACTCTGTGCCAGGCACGGAACCATGTGTCAGTGAAAGGGGCGTCTTCGCTCTCAGGATGTGCTGGTATGACGAGCCTGACTTTGGAGGGACTGTCAAATAGAGATGCGATGCAACTGCTCGTGGTAAGACAAGGACAAGCTGAGGCTCAGCACCACCCATTGTGTAGGCCAGGTGTCAGGAAGGCTGACTCTATGTGCAAACACTCAGTGGGATTATTGCTCATAGCGCAGCAAACAGAGTGACATAAGGGTGTCCTGCCTATCTTGTTCTTTAAATACACCCTATAGACACAATGCCCAGGTGCCCCCGACTCATAATAATTGGACCTAGAATGCCTTGGTTTTGGGACGGTGTGAACAGCCCCACATTCTGTCCTCTCCCTCACTGTGTGCTCATGTCCATAGTTGGCATGAGCGATCCTACCTGTCAGCATCAAGTGGGCCATGGTTTAAGCAATTTTGCCCAAGGCCAACATTTTCAGTTTCTGCACAGAAGGTCACTAATGACAGAAATGTATTAGAAGCCCATAGGAAGCAAAGATAAATGGCCTAGAAGGTACCTCGGGGCATCCATTAAATGTCGGCACTCAGAGGCAGTTTAAGTCCAGCTCAGTGTCTGTTCAAGATAACCGGATGAAACATTTCAAACAGTGGGTGATGAAACCCGTTTGGTAATCAGAAGACCTTTATCCCAAGAACCTTCAGAAGTTGCTCTAAAGAAGAGGAGAAAAGGAAAAATGATCACAGATAAGATAAGGAACAGGGCATTTAAGACAACTGAGAAATCAATTACACTGACTCACAGAGATACCAACTGACAAGAGAGGAACACTCTGGATAGAGGCTAAGCTGTAGCTGGCTGCAACTAGCTAGGTGACTTCAGCAGCACAGATGGGCTCCTTTCCTTGGACAGTCAGGGACCTGCGCTGAGAAACCCCTTCGACCCTCAGTGTCTGGCCAGCAACCCCAGACAGAGTATTAGTCTGAGACATAGCTCTGAGCACCAAAGACACAGCTCCGAGCACCATGCACACCCGGGCCGCTGAGTGAGCACCTAGCCGAGACACTCAGTGGTGAGTCCTGCCTAAGAGAAGCTCAGCTCCAGCTCTAGGAATTGCTGTGTAGCCTGACCCTGTGGTTCAGCCTTCATGGTCCTCATCATTCCCACAAATCTGCAAAGTGTTGCTGCAGAGATCTGGCCAGTAGTTAGGGAACACTGCCACAACAACAGGGAACAGATTATTGCAGTTACATAAGTGACTTACAGTGAGTCTATATGGCAGCACCGCTCGGATTTTTTTCGTTTGTCTATTTGTTTACTTAGAGACAAAGTCTCATGCCACTAAGTCAGCCTCATGTGACTTCAAACTGGCTGTGAGGCCAGAGATAACCTTGACCTTCTGCTTGGTTCCAGAAGGCCACTTCAGGGCTCTATTGACAAAGCTCTGAAGATGGAGCCCGGGGAATCACACATTGCAAAGCTGGCACTCCACCGTCTGAGCTGCCTCCTCAGGTCAGGAATCACACACTGCAAAGCTGGCACTCCACCGTCTGAGCTGCCTCCTCAAGCCTCAATTTGTTGCTTTCATTTTTTTTTGCCACAAAGTCTCATGTTCTCATTTTATGGATAAGCAAGTGGGAGCCCAGAGAAATTAGGGCCTGTGCCTAAGGACATGGGAGTGAATGGCAGCGTGGGTGGCCCCTCCCAGGTTGGGTCTATCCTGCCAGTGGGTAGTGGGGTGTGAGTGCCAGCTGCATGGAAAACCATCCTTCAGTGAATGCATGAAAGATGGAGACTGCAATTAAGTAAATTTTGCGGGCCTCTGGAGCCTGTGGAATATCAGCCCCCGATCCAGTCTCCAGATCTCTGTGGCATCGGCCTCAGGTGTGGGCAGCTCAGTGCCAGTGGGTCCCCAGCACATGTCCAGTTTGCCAAGAAGGCCAGGGAATGTCTGGATCCTGGGAAGAGTGTGGCTAAGGAAGCCCCAGTCGCAGCCCACTGACCTAAGGAGCTTAGACGCCAGACAGGGCATTTGTGGAAATCCCCCTTTCAGGAACAGCAAGGCCTCTCATGCAGCGCCTCACAACACCTTGCTTGCCCGGCTCTCACCCGATGACCTCCCTTCTGTGGGAGTCCTGAAACTGTAGCCTAGCAAAGTCCAGCTCCACGGCCCACTCTCCAGCGGAGGTCTGCCGTTTTCTAGGACCCTGTGATCTGCACCGAGAAAGACTGGGCTCATCGCCAGTTCTGCCCTTCCTAAACAACCGCGTGTCTGGGAACAGACCATCTGCCTCCTCCAACTAGAACTGCTCTTCCGCCCCTGGAGAGGCGACCAGTGGGAGCTCTCTGTCATTCCCAGCACACTGGTCTGGTGTCTTGCAGCGACAGCCTTGGACAATGCAGTGGGAGCAGCACCACACGGGTGCCTTTCGATCAGGTTTAGATTGGGCACAATCTATGGGAAGCACCATAGTGAAAGTACCGGAATGGAAGAAGGGTGGAGTGAATGAGAAGCATGAACTCACTCTCTGTTCTACACGGGTCTGGAAAGTTAGGGAGAGTCCAGCCCATGGGGTCACCCACCCAAACTGCTGCCAGCCTAGAACTCCGCCCCCAAGTCCATTGTCCTCATCGGGGCATGGTGCCGACCAGACTTTCAGACATGAGGAGACAGGCAGACATGCACTGGAAGGAGGCAGCTTCTCTTCGATGAATCACTAGAGATGGCCGACCAACGAGGTCCTGTAGCTGGGCCACAGGCAGAGAAGGGAGAAAATGTGTAGACAGAGTTCCTCTGTGTCCCAACAGCCGCTCCCAAATAACCACATAGAGACTTAATACCAATTATAAATGACTGGCCAATAGCCCGGGCTTATCTCCAGCCAACTCTTACAGCTGAAACCAACCCATGTCTATTAATCTATGTGCTTCTTTCACGTCTGACTCAGGACTCCTCAAACCCTGCCCTTCTTCCCAGCATTCTCTCTGCCCCCGAAATCCTACCGAGCTATCAGCCAATCCACTTTTTATTAACAGCGAGAGCGACACTTTTTCACAATGTACAGAAGGGTTATGCCACAACAGAAATGCTTCAGGCTTCACCCACAGCTGGACAAAGCCTGCCTCCAACCTTACGGTGCATCCCAGGACAGGGTATCCTGGGGCTGCAAGTTCCACGGCTGGCATTGCATGAAACCACTGTGCTGATGCCAGGGCTGACCTGCACCTTGCTCAAGTGAAATCTGCCCCAGCATCTGCCCTTCCCCCACAGGCAGATTAGAGGCTTCCCATCTGCCAAGAGTCTTTGAACTCAGGTTAAAGCAGCAAATGTCACTGCTGGCTACGAATCAGCAGGTAATGAGGTACTGGAGCTCAGCTCTCGAAGTGGTGACACACAGGCTCGGGCCCTCTGGCGTTGTTAGAGAGACAGAGACATGGGATGTGAAAAGAAACTCCCAAATAGTTCACTGGGCCTCCTGAGGGGCCTACCGCAGTCCCCCGAAACGGGCTCACAGCGGTGTTGGTTCCCTCGCCCCGGCGCTTGGAGAGCAGTGATTGCCCCCTTGCAGACAAAGCTCTGCATGCAGCACCCTGGACAGTGGTGAGGGTCTCCTTCAGCCTAGGCCTCTGCCTGTGGCCCAGTTCCAGAGTCCTGTCAGTCAGTTATGGTGATCGTACACCAGCGACATTTACTCTTGGGATCCTTCTGACTAGAGTTGAAGAAGCACCCTGCCTTAAGGCTTTGAAACATTCCAGTCACAGCATGGCACCTGGCTCCGAACTCCTCCCTCTGCAGCTTGTAAGCCTGTGTGGGAGAACTGCGTCGTCTATCGGCTGAGACAGCTAAAGCAGACGCTGAGGGTCAGCAGCACCCAGCTGGCATGGAGGCTCACTGTGCTGTTGCAGAGGTCCGTGTTGCAGCAGGAGGCCTTGGAGTTGTTCTGGCTCTGATGGACATCAGGACAGGTAAATGCACATGTTTTTGTCACAGTCGTTTGCTGACCTGGGGGTGCTGGAAACAGAGGACAGAGGGCCATTTACTGAGACCTATAAGACCCACTCCTGGCCCTATGAGCAAACCCAGGCCACCTACAACCTCCAGTTCAAAGAGAGAATACAGCAAGTGGTCAGGAAGGTCAAACTCAAGTTGTGACAAGGAACAGGGCTCAGTATGTGGCCAAGATTAAGGGTTAGCATGTAACGAAGACCAAGGCTTCTGAGTGTGACCAAGATTAAGGTTCAGAGTGTGGCCAGAATCAGGGCTCAATGTGGAGACCCAAGGTCAGGGGCTCCGGAATGTGACTAGGGTCACCCACTCCCTGTATCTCTCCGCTTTCCTTTCTGAGCAGTCAGCACGCGGGAACAGGTCGAATTGTGCATTTCACACAGCTGCACTGCATACAGTGGCTCACTTGGGATATCCCACCACTCTAAGACATACTGTTGGTTCCATTTTGAAGGGAAGACAGGACACTCAAAACCCCTCAACAATTGAGGGGACACTCAGAGCCATATCATCCTAGTACCCCAATCCTACCAGCAAGTTTTGCCTTACCCTGGCATCCCCAGGTGCCAGATACAAGGTTCCACCCTGACCCACCCACCCAGGATCAGGGTACTCACCATGCCAGGAGGTCAGACAGTAGCGGCTCATGCTGTAGCAAGATGCAGGGTTGTAGCAGTTCCCTACGGCACTGCACTCATGACACTGCAGAGCCTGAGCTGGAGGGACATAGGGGGTCAGAGACAGAGGCACTCCATAACCACACCAGACAGTACAGGATGCACGGGCAGCTCTGTGAAAAGCACGGACCACCATGCAACCCATTCTGTTCTCCACACACACACTTGGACAGCCTCTCAGCAGCCACACTGAGATACGGGGCATAGAGCCCTGTCTCTAGCCCAGGAAACCAGAGCTAAGCAACCAGCAGTCCATGCTGCTGGTCATACGCCTGCCACGGGAGAAGGTCACCAGCCAAATGAAGCTAATTCCGCAAGACTTTGCAAAAGAGACAGTAAGTCCAGCAGAACACCTAGACTTAGCAGGGAAGGTGGGGCCAATGAGATGGCCCAGTGGGTAGAGAGAGGCACTTGCCAAGCCGGAAGACCTGAGCTCAGTCTCACATGGTAGAAGGGAATCAATTTCCACAAGTTGTCCCCTGAACTCCACACGCACACTTGGGCATGATCACATGCACATTCATGCGTGTGTGTGTGTGTGTGTGTGTGTGTGTGTGTGTGTGTGTGTGTGTGTGTGCGCGCGCGCATCTGAGAGAGAAAGACAGAGACAGAGAGACAGAGAGAGAGAGAGAGAGAGAGAGAGAGAGAGAGAGAGAGAGAGAATGTAGTAAAAGAATTTTAAGGTGAGTGAAGGCACCACCACCAAAGGGTTCCATGGCTAGACTATGGCCCCATTCCCAGGTCAGGCAGAGCCTGGCTGTGAGACCTCCAACAAGTCCTGTCCCCTATGCCAGCACCTCCTCTGAAGCTCAGGACCATGTCATCTGGGGGTAGGTAGGTCCAACCAGGTCAGGATGTAAGCCAGAGTCCGCAGGGGCTCTGGTGACCTAGAACAGGGGTACTTGCTTCCTGGCTCACCTGAGGATCCCAGCAGAATTAGGGGCAACAGCCAAAGCAGGTAAGTCCTCATCTTGGTCAATGGGGACAAGCAGAGCTTGTGTCTGTATCCGGCTAGCACTGGATAAGCCCGTCTTTATAGTCCCTCCTGCTGTGGAGGGTGGGGCCTCAGTCTCCCTCTCACCCTGACTACATACATGTGTCACCTCTAAGGGTGTGGTTGGAAGGTCAATACCTCCAAGATTGCCTTTTCCGACACTCCAAACCCTCTTCCCAATGCCCATCCTCTCTTTCTCCTGTTCCACCCAAACCCCAGCCAGCTGTGCTGCTCTGACTCCAGCCAGGCCATCATCCAGGAACCATTGTCTGTCCCTTGTCCGTCTTGGGAAATGTCCCAGGCAGGACTGAAACACTGGGAAAGTGACTTCTCATGGTGCAGGAGGAAGGAGCCCAGGTCACGGTGCCCATAGGTGACATCCTCTCAAAGTTCCACTCACTGGTCTATAGATGACACTTTCCCCTCAGGTCCTCACAGGTCACCCTCTGTGTGCCTGTGCCCTGACCTCTTCAGACACCTATCAGAAGGGATTGGGCCACCTAAGTAACTTCCCCATACCATAATAGTCTCTTAGAGGACAGTTTCCCAACAGTCCCAACCTGAGGAACTGGGGGTTAGGGACCTTAACATATGGATTTGTGGGGATAGAATTCAGTTCATATGCTGCCTAGTTTTATGTCAACTTGCCATAAGCTAGACTAATCTGAGAGAGGAGAGCCTCAGTTGAGAAAAAAACCTCCATAAAACAGGCCTGTGAGCAAGCCTTTAGGGCATTTTCTTAATTAGCGACTGCTGAAGAAGGGCTCAGTCCGTTGTGGATGGGGACATCCCTGGGATGGTGGCCCTGGGTTCACAAGAAAGCAGGCTGGAGTTGGGCGCTGGTGGCACACACCTTTATTCCAGCTCTCGGGAGGCAGAAGCAGTTGGATCTCTGTGAGCCGGAGGCCAACCTGGTCCACAGAGCAAGTTCCAGGACTGGCTCCATAGCTACTGAGAAACCCTGTCTCGGGGAGGGGGGGGAAGCAGGCTGAGCAAGCCAGGAGGAGCAAGGTGGTAAGCAGCTCTCCTCCAGCCCCATCAGTGACCCCTGCATCAGTTCCTGCCTCCATTTCCTGGCCCGTTCAAGTTCCTTCCCTGATTATCTTCGAAGATGGACTGTGGTATGGAAATGTAACCGAAATAAACCTTTTCCTCCACAAGTTTCAACATGGACCAGACGCTGCTCACAATTACAAAGTGTGAAAGAGGCAGAAGGGTATGAAACCTACCTCCTCAGAGCCCCTCAGCTCCTCCAATAAGTTCAGGAAGGGTACCCACCATGGTCTGCTACAGGACAGAAGAGGAATCCATAGTCACATTCACACCATAAGCAGAAAAACAAAAAGGAGACACAATGAAGAAAACTGATCTGGGAATGGTGGGGGTCAATGGGCTGAGCGTGTTGGAAGCCAGTGGGCTGGGGATGCTGGGTGTCAGTGGTATGGGAGTGCTTGGGGCCAGTGAGCTGGGAACACTATGGGACAGTGGGCTGGGGATGCTGGGCATTAATAGGCTGGGGATATTAGAAGTAGCAGGCTGGAGATGCTGGGAGACAGGGTTCTGGAAGCAGGTTAATGTCCATTGGCTGTTCATAGGCTTAAGCAGGACTCAGCTCTATATTCAGTGATGCCAGGAATAAAAATTGGTCTTCCTTTCCAACTTCCAGGATTCTGGATGTAAATTTTTGTTCCCATTTTATGGCAATGAAATGCAAAGCCCAAAGGGAGAAGGGACCAGCTAGGTCACACTGTGAGATGGGGCTTTCTTCCCCCTGGAGGCTTCATCTGCCCATTGCTAGGGATTTTTCCAACAGACTGGAGGACAAGGAAAATACTCTGCTGTGCCACAGGCTTGTGTCTGGCTCCCCTCCTGGGGTCCCAGCCACATTTAGACAGTCTAGTGACCATATCCCAACCTGTCACAGGCCAGGACTCAGGAAACCCCAGTGACAGGGTCACATCCCACCCAGACCTTGGCCAGCAGCCAGGCACTATGACTTCCAGCACCTGAACCAGCTGTGCAATGAGATCCTTTTACACACAGTCACGCACTCAGGGAAGTGACTGACTTCATAGCAATTCCCAGAAAAAAAACATCTAAGGTTGAAGGCTGTGTGACCTCAGTCACTCTGCTGTCATGATTACGTCTTCTGGGTTAACAAGGCTCAGGGGTTAGCCTGGTGAGACACAAATTCATGATAAGGGACTTGGGCAAAACCTTGACCCGTCATAACTGCCAGTCTAGAAGGCCTGTTTGTTGTCTTGGTCCTCTAGACAACCTACACAGAACAGTAAAAAGTCACCAGGTCTGCATCCCACCCTAAACCATCCACATCCCAAGCCTAGAAAGTGTAGGAGATGCCTCACCCAGAGGTGATTGACTAGATAGAAATAGACTATAGATTTGGGCACAGGAAGATGACACTGAAAGCCCTAAATATCATTATGGAACCTTCACAGGGGTGAGGCAGAGGGCCAGGGAGATGGCTCAGTCAGCAAAGTGTTTGCTTTGCAAGCGTGAGGACCTGAGTTTGATCTCCAGAACCCACAAGAAAATCTGGGTGTGACGGTCTGTGCTTATAATCCTAACATTACAGAAGTGGGGATGGATGGGTCTCTGAGGCTTGGGGGGCAGTCAGTCTAGCCTACTCGGTGATCTCCAGGCCAGTGAGAAACCGTGTCTCAAAAACACAGACAGACGGACGGACGGACAGACGGACGGACGGACAGACGGACAGAGGGTGAGGGGTACGGGACCTGCAACTGACTTTGACCTCTGGCCCTCCATAAACACACACACACATGTTCATGTGCATACATGTGTGTGAGCACCCATGAACAGACACACACAGGTGAGACTGGAGGGTCATAAAACAGAGCGAGGTGTCTGAGGACAGAAGCAAGAAGGGCACATGTGCCAGAGAAGCTTCTAGAAGCTGGAAGGATGGGCAGTGATGTTGCCCTCCAGAAGCAGCAGTGTGCAGCTCTGCTGAGGTGATTTCTGCCCCCAAAGGACCACACACCTGACCTCAGAAGTGTAAGGGGTAAGTGCATGGCACATTTCAGGCTGCTGGATTTGCGGTCTCAGCCACCACAAGTGGCTAAACTATCGGTCGTCCACTTGGCTAAGGGGACCGATGAGGCGTGGACCCAGGTCTGAGGGGAACCTTCCAGCTTCCGTCCCCACTTCTGGAGGCCCCATGCCAGCCTTGGACTTGCCCGATAACAGCAAGCGGGGTATGAGTGGCCCGCAAAGGTCAGCGGTCGCACACACCCCACACCTCACAAACCGGTCCAGGCCCATCCCAGCTGAGTCCCCAGGTCACTGTGACCTGATGTGGTCTTCACCAAGGATGCAGCACTGAAACAAGGTGTGTCTGCTTTCTGGAAGTGTTTTTGTTTTGGTGTCTTGTAGTCCAGGCTGGAGTTGAACTCTTGGTCCCTTTCCCTCCACCTCCGAAGAGCTGACAGCACAAACGTGTGCTGCCACACCCAGTGTAGTGAGTTGGCTTTTAGTAAAACTTTATTATGGTGATAAAACACACATAAGCATCTACCTCACCTTTGTCGATAATTAAACAGTTGAGTGGCTGTGAGCGCATTAATGCTGAGCCACCGTCAACATCCATTAATCCACAGAATGCTTTCATCTCTCCAGACAGAATTTGCCCCATTAAACACTAACCCCCACCATCCTTTCCAGACCCTGGGACACACCATGCCACTTTCTGTCTCTATGGATTTGACTCCTCCAGGGACCTCTCAAGGGTTTCAGGCCAAGCCAACTTTGAACCCAGTATGTAGCTGAGAGTGTGGTCTTTTTTTTAAATTTTAGATAACTTGTTTTACATGTCAATCCCAGTTCCCTCTCCCTCCCCTCCTCCCACACCCCCCCACCACCATCCTCCCAGCCTCCCACCCTGTTGCCACTTCCTTCCACATAGGGGATATCCAGAGTCTGTCATTTTGCTCAGGACATGGTTCACCCTTAAGAGTCCAGGCTGAGGGAGCATCCCATGGACACACGATGTCTGTTTGTATTCCAGGGATAAACACTGATCCACTGCTCAAGGCCCCATAGGTTACCCAGGCCTCCTCACTGACTCTCACATTCAGGGGGTCCGGATCAGTTCCATGCTGGCCTCCCAGCTGTTGGTCTGAGGTCCAAGAGCTCTCCCCTGTTCAGATCAGCTGTCTCTGCTGGTTTTGCCAGCCCATTCTTTGCCAATTTGCTCATTGCTCCTCTCTCTCTGTTGCTGGGTTCCTTGGGTTCAGTTCAGTGCTTAATTGTGGGCGTTTGCCTCTGCTTCCATCAATCACTGGATGAAGGCTCCAGGATGGTTACAGACATCAAGTTCATTATCAGGAATGGGCATTCAAGGTGGTCTCTCCACTATTGCTTATCTTGCCAATTGGTGTCATCCCTTTAGATCACTAGAGGTCACACTGGTGCCTGATCTGTCTTCTAACCTATGATTCCCTCTTCCCCCTATTCTACCCCCACACTCAACCTTCCTGTTCCCCCATGACCTACTCTCTCTTCCTCTTCTCCCCCTCTCTTCTTCCCAGCTCCCACTCTGCCCCCCCACCCCTCGCAGTGTTCCCAATCTGTTCAGTGGATCTTGTCTCATTCCTCTTCTCTGGGGTACCATGCATATCTCTTAGGTTCTTTCCTGTTTCCCAGACTCTCTGTCAGTGGGAGTGCAGACTGGCACTCTCCTGATCCATGTCTAAAATCCATATATGAGTGAGTACATAAAAATACGGAGCGCTTCACGAATTTGCGTGTCATCCTTGCGCAGGGGCCACGCTGCTCTTCTCTGTATCGTTCCAACTTCAGTATATGTGCTGCCGAAGCGAGCACGAGAGTGTGGTCTTGAATGTCCGATCCTCCTGCCTCTTCCTCCCCAGTGCTGGGATTACAGGAAGACACCATCGTGGCCATTTTATGCAGAACTGGTCATCAAATGCATGACTTAGTGCATGCTAGGCATGAACCCTACCAAGACTCACATCCCCAGTTCAGCTTCTGTCTGTTTGCAACCTGGTTTGTTTTAT